TCATCGTTTGTTTAAACGTAAATTGGAGCCCTTTAAAATAACATAGTTAGCACAATCGTTAAATGCATATTTATTGTTGAAATATATTTGTTTTAGAGGAGAGTGCTGTACGAATTTCTATCTGAGCAATGGAGAATGTATTGGTAAGAGAGTCCTAAGACTTCACTTTTGTACCTATTTAGCGAATTACTTCATTGTACACTCTACCGTCACGGTAGCTCATTCGGTAGAGCGCTCGCTCTCTGTGATCGGGAGGTCGTGGGTTCGAGCCCCGGCCGCGACTGACCTAAGTCGATTAAAAATAGGTAGCAACTGTTCCTTTGCTAGGCGCTCAGCAATTTGAAGTGAAAGTTGCGGGTCCTTCAGATGAGACCTTAAAAACCAAGGCCCTGTGTTACGGTAGGTGTTGGCACGATAAAGAACCCTCACTCCTCAATGGCCCTGAGTGCTGAGTAAAGGTCTAAATTTGAAGCCCTTCACCGGTATATGGTGATCACGTCTCTATATGAGTGAAAAATTCCAAAACATGACGAAAAACAACATACAATCAATCAATCATTATATACTCAGAGAAAAGTACATTTCATGAAGTAAATTTAAGCAAATTCTTTGAATTGTCTGCTTGGGATCTAGAATGAATTTGAAAGCAAATCAATTACTTTGTTCTTCCAAAGCATTATCAAAACAAAGAATAAAATTAAATATACAACAGTTTTCTGCTTGATTATAGCCTGCCCCGTTGGTTCCTATGGGCACAACTGTTCGACAACTTGTCCATATCCGTCTTATGGAGAGAATTGTGGTCATCAGTGTGTTTGTAGTCCTGGGGAAGAATGTAACCCATTCAAAGGCTGTGTCAAGATAACCACTGGTAAACATAATTTATATTCTCCCTCATTCCGACCGAGTACAAGATAATTATATTCTTTGTAAAAACAACAAACACGTATTATAATATAAAGTTTCATTGATTATAAAGCTACAAAAAGTAATTTCTACGGCTGATAAAATATATACAAAACAAACTGCATCTTCATGTATATTAACTATATATAATTTGGACTCGTTAGTTCTTTTTTAACGAACCTAGACTTCTAGAAAACCCTCCCTTATACTTAGTACATTGTATGCCATGCAGAAACACCAGACCGAAAAATCTTTGACAATTTAATATCAAATAATTGTGAAAGTTTTCCTGATGAACTAAAGAAGTGATCCATCATAATACAATGTATTAAAACAAGTAAAATTTCACAATTCATATAGTAACATCAAGAAAAAGAGCTCAATCAACGGGAAAAACAGAAAAATGGACCGAAATTTCAGGTGAAGGTACATTGTAATTCATTATAAGTATCTGGAATTTTGAGAAAAATATCATGCAATCCCTTTAAAAGTGGCTAAGATTTTTTAGCATTGGAAAATTCACATAACTTTTGTATTTAATATTAGAACTGACCTTTTTCTGTAGTATTGCAGGTCACGAATGAAATTACTGACGAAAGAGATCGTTATACGCCAGGAGTGGTTAGTAGATGGATATACTCACAGACGACAAGTAAGACTTTTGGCATTGTCAAAACACCTTACAACATTTTGGCGTGCATGCTTTTTATTCAACAAAAGTAAGGCTTTATTTTCATCCACTGTCTCAATGAAGAGTTGTTCTACCAAATAATTTTATAGCTGCATTTCTACGTATACTGTTTTTTTTTTTTAATTTTGTTTTCTTTTGTTTGTTTGTTTGTTTGCTTGTTTGTTGCAGTTTTTGGTGTGTTTTTTTTTTTTTTTTTTTTTTTTTTTTTTTTTTTTTTTTGTTTGTTTGTTTGTTGTTGTTTTTTTTGCTGTTGTTCTGAACATTTTTCAAAAAATTCAAGTATTACATATATTACATCCCTTTGTTTTATCTGAACTGGGACAATGAATCAGTTGATATAGTGCAGTTTAATTCATTAATATATCGGTAAAATATGACGATAGCAGTCAGACTGCAAAATTAAGATTTCTTCATAGTTCCATGGCACGTTTAATATATTATTTAAACATTGTGAAAATATTTTGACTTATTTGGTGTTTTTGAAAAATAAAGAAAAATCAAAACAAACAAACAGGCAAACAAAACAAAAACAAATGAAATCTTATAATTAGGTTTGCTTTTCCATAATCTTTCAGAGATGTGCCGTGACCATTTTTTAAATACTGAAACTATGTAAATTCAATTGTTAAAATTGAGCATTTTGTTAGATTTTAACAAGAATTATTCCAAAATTTCATAAATTTTTACGTAAAGTTTATAGGAACCTGTCAGTGAAGCAGTGTTAAACATATGTAGTGTATTAAATATCTTCGCAAGCCAAGCACCTCTTTTCTCTGGAAAGAAGCCCTTGACTTGCAAAGATGTGTACTGACGCGTTAATGATTTTGAAACGTAAGTATTTAAACGCCACACAGGATCCGCGCCAGAATCTCGAATTGATTTCCGTTCCGTCATGTTTGTTTTAGAATTCATGGGAAAATTTTCAAAACATATTGAAAGACAAGCAAGATGTCAAAAATAAAGAATTGAATTTTATAAAAAGAACACATGGAAGACAAAGATTAATATCTCTCACGGCCTTATGTTGTGAATCCGTTTAAAACTTCCGCGTTGCGTCGACATTTGTAAACAATGCATGAGGAAGTTTTAATCTACCACTCTGCGACGGGAAATCCTGTGACATCCTAAGCTTTGGTAACAGATACTATAAAACAAAGCCATACAAACAGGTATGTTATTTACGTATTTTATTTTTTTTTTATATACACACAGTTCTCTGCTCTCTCCGCTAAGGAGACAAATAAGGGTCTTGAATACACAGTTTTAGTATAAACGATGTGAACATTCAGGTATAGTACATCGTTACGTACGTCGTTATTCGTTTTAGTAAGTTTTTGTTGCTTAGCCGAGTATTATATGATTGTATCGGAAATTATATTTATTAGGAAAACACGTCATCGATTTGAAACATTATTTATTTATTCGTGATATAAACCATGTTTTCTTCAATCAAATTACTAGCATTCATTTGATTATTGCAATATTATGAAGTTCTAAACTTGCTAGAGTCGTAAATGGGTTACCTCTCAAAAGGACGACCCTATTTCAGAAGAAAAGGGAACCACATTTATATATACAAGCAGAGGGTTACTAGGGACCAGGAATGATGCAAAATATCACTGTTGGAAAAAAGATATGAAAATTATCGAGGAATCTTAAGTGTAAAGTATATGGGAAACTAAGCATCAGAGCTTTCTTTTTAATCCGTGAATGACTATGGTCTGGCACTCACAGGTTATCTTATTGCAAACCAGTTATAATGGAATAAATCGTACTCAATTTAATGTATATTTAAGGCTAGCCGGTACATGAAGATCCTCGTATCATAAAGCTAAAGTAAATTAGAATCTTTTAACAAAGTAATTGATTGGGACTTTGTGAACTATGTGACAGTGGTAGCATGTCGACTCATGTCCACATGTCTGTATCTTTATTATTTTTAATGCCTTATATTTTTTTTTAGCCAGGAACACAACACCAATTAAGTCCCCAGATCTAGACTGTACAATTCAATTCTTTCCCTTCTCTCTCCCTTTTATCATAGATCACCTCGCTATATATAATTTAAATGCGCATAAACAGCAAAAGGAACAAGATGTGTTAGTGAAACACCGATGACCCCGTATATTAGCTTGTAGCGAAGGTTAAATTTCTTAAATGCAAGTCAAACTCCAGGTCAAGAGATAAAAAATGTTGGTACTGAAAGAAAGGTCTTGTCTAGAGGAATAAACCTGTAAAATATGAAGGTCCTAGCTCCAACCGTTGAAAAGTTAATGCAAAGGTTAAAGTTTTTCAAAAGTAAGTAAGACGTCAAGGTCAAATGGTGCCCAAGGGAAGGTCTTGTTACAAGTGATACACATGTGCGTAAAATGTGAAAGCAAAAGAACAAAACGTTCAGATGTTATCGTCAAAGTTAATTTTTTTCAAAAGTAGGTCAAACTCTAATGTCAAGATCAATGGACCAAATCTGTTGGTATTCAAAGGAAGGTCTTGTCACAAGGAATACACATGTGACGTATGAAAGCTCTAACACCAATTGTTCAAAAGTTATGGTTTTCAAAAGTAGGTCAAACTCCAAGATCAAGATCAAAGAAAGGTCTTGACTCAAAAATACACGTGAATATTGAAAGCCCTAGCACTAACTTCAAAAGTTATAGCCAAGGTTAACGTCTGATAAAATTTTGCAAAAGTAGGTAAAACTCCAAGGTCAAATATGATGGTACCCAAAGAAAGGTCTTGTCACAAGGAGTAAACATGTGAAATATGAAAGACATAGGGCCAACCAATCAAAAGTTATGGGTAAGGTTTTAACAGTTTTTGCGGACAAATAGGCAGACGGACGGACAGGGCAAAAACTATGTGCCCCCGAATCTTCGATTACGGGGGCATAAAAACTCCGTGTATTAAGTCAAATAAGAATGTTTCATAATTACAGTAATGTAATGTAAAAACAGTTTTTTTTCTAGTAGGTCCTGACAAAACAATTGATTCTGTTTATCCCTTCCTTGCTTTGACAAAGATCATTTGAATGTTTAAATGGATTCTGTTAACAGTTGACAATGCGGAAAAAATCGTTCCTTACTGTAACTTGTAGTAAAACACTTAAATTTCCTTGTATTTAAGATAAATTAATGTTTATACTTAAACATACAATAGTGTAAATAGGCCAACACTTACTGTTTAATGTTACACTTGTATATACCACTTTTTTAACACTTACATGTATCTCTAATATGAAATATTTTATTACTTCCTCAGTATTTTGTAGAGCGTCTTTTACTAGTATATTTTATATGAACAATATCTAACATTTGCACTTCCTTAGTACATGTATTTTATAGAGCGTCTTGTATAATTGTATTTTTTACAAAGTCAAAGCAGTAGTACTTATTTTTTTGCTCAGGTTCTAGTATTATAGAGTTAAAGATGGCTGCTGTTTCCACTGCAGGTGAGTATAAACTAATCTTTGTTTTCTGGGTAAACTTTCAATTAATTTCCAATTATTCTCTGTGCATATTAGTAAGTTGCAAGTATTAGAAATGTGCAATGGAATGTAAGACATCTGGTCCAAAAAATATAAAAAGAGTAATACTGCATACACTGAGAAAAACTTTCATTTGTCTCTTAGTCTGAGATTGTAATTATTTTTATAAAGTATGTATGTTAAAGATTTTAACAAGCATGTGCATAAAGATTTATGATTTTTAGGATAATCTTGAACAGCTCAATAAACTCATTTTCTTTTATCTAATAGAAAAAAGGTCTAACTTTTTTTTTCAAATTCTTCTAATAGCAAGTGTTGTCATAGATACAACTTGTCAAAAATGTGCTATCATAAATCGAATACGAAAAATTCAGGATAGGGTTTGATAAAGAAAGTTAACAATTTTTCCCAAGGAACTCTGTTTACACGAGTGATCTTCGGCCCACGCCTTTTTTTGGGGGGGGGGGAGGTATTGTGAAATACTGAAAACGCTGACTAGTTCCTAGTTATACCTGTTTCATAACATCTCGATCGGTCTTTTAATTTGTTATAACAAAATGGATGTGGACCAGCTTCGAAAAGCGTGCATATACTATATCCTTTAGCAAGTGCTGTTTACCAACAGTATCATAATTGGTGAGAATTTATAATTTGGTACCTTGAAATACCTGATATTCATTCTTTGAAATTTGTCACATTGCATTTTTTCCCCCAAAACTTAAATTACTCTTACATAACTTCATTATTGTACTTATGTATCGGCGATATTATTTCTAGAAGTAAAAGAAGGCTACTATAGAAACTGAAGCACACATTTGCCGGCTTCATTAGTTTTTCCTTGTTCAAAAATGGAGAGAGAAAAGTTATTTAAAAATTCTTGTTTAGATCAATTGAAAAAATACAGAGATACTGCAAATGTGTATTCTAAATTTGGACTGGATGGCAAAGCTGTTGCCATGGAGTCATCTGGATCTTCAGAAGAGGAGGAGGAGGCTGACCCCCCACCGCTTCCCAGGCGTAACATGAGAGTCAAGTTTCAAGAAGAGCCCCTCCCCGAGAAAGAAAAATCCAAACCTAAACAAAGAAAAGGTTTTTATCTGAAAAAAGTTCTCATTCCAGTATCACACAGTATTAGCGAAATTCCAATAAGCCATCAAACTTTTTTAAAACCCTAAATTTTTAAAGGGATTTTTTGTCATCTCATTGTACGTATGATAATTATTATCTTTTAAGAGCGAAGTATATTAAAGTGGAAAGGTAATACATGCCTAGCTTAAACTTGTAATCATAGAGCTCCGCTCGCGCGAGCTTAATACCATGATATATTACCTATTATAATTATAGGATTATTTTCATTATCAGTTTGATTCCTTTGACATCTCCTTTAAAAATAAGACAATAGCATGGAATTTTAAAAGAAAGCATGATTAGTATTATGTGTTGACGAATTTTGGTCTTTTTAAACAGTACAAGTCTTTCATTCCTGTTTCTTAATAATCTTTTTCTAACAAAAGGCTTGCATGAAAACTAATTTATTAATACTTACCAATCATTTTATATAAATTACATCCTTATTTCAACACAAAAGCCTTTTAATACGTACGTGTAAATTTAGTCCAAGAAATATTTCAGAACCAAATGGAGACTTTCGCGAATATTTACTTTCTAATGGGTTGAATGAAGCGACGGTGCAGAAATTACTGAATGAAGAAATTGAAGATTTTCAAACTTTAAAAATACTAAGCGAGGAGGACATTGAAAAGTTAGACCTAAAGACCGGACAGAAGGCAAGGGTACGAAGCCTGACCAGAAGTCAAGAAAGTACAACAGAACACCGACTGTCAGATAGGCGAAAACCTGTGAAGGTAAAAGGTCAAAGTTCAGATCACGAGGAAAAAGAGCCACAGTTTGTAAAGTGTTCACAAGATAAACGTTTTCCTGTCGAGAAATCATCCACACACTCAAAAACCAAGACGAATGTACAAGTGACTAAAAATACCACTGGTCTGGTATACGTCTCTTCTTCTTCTTCCGGTAGGTAATTTGCGCATGTTAGTGTTCATTTATAATGAGTCCCTTTGATAGTCAGTCCAAATATATATCTTTTTTCAATGAACTCGGGTGATGTAACATAAAAATCTCTTTTTATTTAACAGCGTTTATCTGTGTTGTAAGTAAACGTCTGGAACTAAATAAAAGTTATATGGCTGCTCAGTTGTTTGTATCATGTTCGATAATCCTGCAATTATATGGGAAAAAAATTACCAAGACACACAATTAATACGTATCATATTGAATATAACTGCTTTTTACCTGCCTTTCCAGTTCAAATGTAGAAACATTCACTTAAGCTTAAACTCTTTAAATATGTAAATAAAATTCTATTGCTTTATTCTGCCGATCATAATCATCAAGAGATATATTCCTTACCATCAGCAAATATTCTTTCACGACAAACTTTATCATCAATCAAAAGATATGTTTATCATTTAAGAAAATGTTAATTATATTTACACGAAAAAGAGTTTGTCGTATAAATTGAAAATAAATATTTTGACAATCGGATAATTAAACTGAGTTTTCTTCAGAGTCTGATGAGGACAAAGGAGAAGTCCATATGAAGAGGGACACACTTCGGGGGGATAGCGTGAGGGTAGCGAATAAGGGAGAAAGGGATGTGGAGCTGACTTACAAAGTGCTGCAGACAGAGGAAAAGGTATGCAATGCAAATCAGATTTATAATATATACAACGGCTGTATAGAATCTATCTTTCGACACATCGATGTCATTTCTATGCAAGTATTATCTAACCGGATTTCAAAGCAACAATGATTTCATGATGTTTAGGATACACAAGGTGTCACTTGCTCTGTTTTCTTAAACTGCAGGGAAAAGTCGTGATGGAGCTTTCTACAAGACAAGACACGGAAATACATTGCGTCAAAGCACGAATTCTGATTTTAGTTGATATAAGCGGTAGTATGGGAATAAAATACGACAAAAGACGTAAACACAGCAAACTATCACGAATGAAAAAGTTTGCCATTGAACTCGTGGATTCTCTGGACGATGGAGACTTTGCCTCTGTTGTCACATTTGGCGAAAAAACTCAAGTTTTAGTGCCTCTGCAGGAAATCAATAGAAAAACTCGAGTAAGGATTTCAAGTACTACACACTTTTGGAGAATTAAAATTCATTAAATCTCATTAAACTGATTTAAAAAAAAATCATTGTACATCTAAATATATATTTTAGAGTGAATTAAAGACCGTTTTGGAGACTTTGGACAAAACATACCTCTCAACAAAGACAAATCTTAGCGCTGGTTTATCGAGGGCTATCGACATATTTAGTGAGAAAGCCAAAGGGTAAAAGAATTTCAAGATAGAAGGAAGCATCTAATGCAGACATGTTTTTGTTCAGATTTATTTTTTTTTAAATGTCTCGACAGTTTCTATTTATAAAAAGAATAAGCCTTTAAAAAGTAAGCTGAAAATTTATATGTTTTGTACTAAAATCTCTTCAGTGGATAAGTAGAAAGTTCATCTCAAATCCCCTATTGAAGATAAGATATTCCTTTAAAATTATGTTTGCCTTTCAGACCCGAAGATCTACTGATGTATAGAAACTCAATTATAGTTTTCTCTGATGGTGAAATAAACGAAGGCACAAAGGAGCCAAACAAACTGGTACATGAAGTCCGAGAAAAAATTCGAAAAAACGCATTTGATTTGGATGATTCACAGAATCAATGGGTTAGCATCTCCACCATAGCTACAGGAAATGATATATCGGAGGCAATGTACTTACTGTCAAAATGCTGCAGCAGCGATGCTTTCTACCATCTAGACGTACAGAAATCCGAGATGGATGACCCTGACCTTTTTCTTCCGGTCATGCTTCGGAAGACAGCGGTCGTTTGGAATGTGTCTGTAGTTATTGAAGCTGTTAATGGTGCAACCATTATAAATAGCGAAACTTCACAAGACAACAAGGTCCGGTTACGTGGAAGTTCTAGAGGTCAAGACAAATCCGAAAAAGCCTTCTTTTATTACGACATTCCAGCAGCTTCGACACGGCACATTGGAGTAGCGCTAGATTTGAGCAACGTCAGTGATGACGCTAACACTGTTGTGTTGAAAGCTAAGGTAGAGTATACGAAAGCGTCAGGACTAAGAATGAAATATTTTGTAGAAATTGCCAGAGGCGAATTTACAGACCAAACGGAGGGAAGGTCTGATGCTATAAAGGCAAATCTGATGCACGATGCAAGACTGATCTCTCAGAATGTCCTTCACAAAGCTGCAGAACATGTAAAAACTGGAAACATCGAAGCCTCAACAGCACAAATAAAACAGGGACAAAGCGAGTTACAAGCTATGATGGAAAGATATGGTGCTATGGCTGCTGAGGATCCAACGTCGGAAAGAAGCCGTGGACGTCCCGGTATCGTGTCAACTGCAGATACCTTGATGAGGAGCATGCGTGATATGTTGGAAGATGTCACAGAGGAAATGAAACCTGCAGAAGAAACTAATTATGCAGAAAGCATTATGAACACTATGCAGAACCTGTTAACAGAACTGGAGGAAAGCAAAACACACGATATCCATGAACCTGACGGGAAAAGCTGGGCCAAAATCAAAGCCGTTTCCTCTGCAATTACTCGCGAGGCACCTACTATGTCCAATGACGTAGACACCGATCTTTTGGCGCCCCTTCCAAACATACGTCATATTTCTGGAAATCTACAACAACAAATGGAGAACCTCCAAAAGAAAAGAGAAGCACGAAAATCCGCCCTACCCGGTACCCTGCAGTAAAACAATTATAGTATTGTTTGTATATTCATATAATATTGTTAACATTGTTTAGTTAACATTGTTTAGCCTTAGTTGCACTTCCAAATCCTTTCAAAATATTTTCAGTATGTTTTGAATTTTGTAATTTTTTCATTCTTAAACCTTATTTCTTATTAATCTATTCATACTGTATGTCTTGAAGTTCAGCATATGATAGTATGTTTATCAGGGATGCATTCATATACATGTACATTGTATTTTTAATAATGCACTTTATAAATGCCAGACCTTGTATAATCATTTGGCTTGCTTTTTATAGAGGAAATTTAGAAGTTGATTTCAGCACTTTTTATTTGATTGATTTTTTTATTTATTGTACAATTTATCAGTATTTTCAAAATGTAAAGAAGTTTGCATTATATGCATTGCATGTATAGTATTTAATTATGAATAGCTCTGTTTGCAATGTCTCTAAGTTAGGAACCTGAAAAGATTTTCGGGTGTCCAGTAGTATTCACTTTGTTTCTGTCTGTCAGACATTTTGTCCTTCCACAAATTTCCTCACTTTTTTCTGATTGTTCTGTTATGTTCAGATGTGGTAGGCAGTTAGACATACTGGTATTGTATGTCATCCAGTTTGGAGTGAGATGTTGGGGGTTTTTCTCACCTAAACAAAGAATCAATCGACACAAAGAAAAATATTCTATAATTTACACTTGGTGTAAAAGGATGACGGCTTCAATGACCGCCGTGGGGTGAAATATCTTGCCTGTTGTAGAAGATCCAAAGCCCAGTGATTGCTATATTAAGGCTTATTTTTACTCTGCGAGTGATGTTTGAAAGTCAGGTCAAGTCTGGATAATGCATGTATTCAAAGAAGGTTAGCATTTTATAAATTCTGGTTAAAATACTTTTAGAAATAGTTAATGAAAAATAAGCACGTAATTAAATTTATGATTTTTCTTTATGACTGCTTTATGGAAATATTAGGATGTTAATTTTTTAAAGATAGCTGGATAATAACATGTTTCTTTCGTATGAATTTCATAATTAGAGTAGTTTTTTATTTTGACATTCATTATCCTTACTAAGCTATCTTATTCCCATCTTAGTAACCCCAACCTTAGATACACCTTCAGCGGGGCCCTTGCTTACTTTTCGATTTAAATATATGTCTCTAATCTTTTATGAATAGGAGAGCAGCTTAATTCCTATACATACAGTATCATTTAATCTATTGTTTTGTTCTAATCTGTTTACAATAAAAGTAAAAAAAAATGTACAACTTAATATGAAATATTCATAACATCAGATTGTGAGACCTGATATTCCAAACACTATTTCATATATACACTGGGACATTGTATATATATATATATATATATATATATATATATATATATATATATATATATATATATATATATATATATATATATATATATATATATATATAAACTGGACAAAGTCTTATGTTAACTTTTCCGATGAAAGTTTCTCGTCCGTCTGTCTAACTGTTTGTCTCACGCCCGTCATAAGTTTTCGAATTTTCTATAAAACGACTTCAACAATTTCAACCAAACAATTTCTCAAGAAAAGATGCACCTTGGATAAGGAGACTCAAATTATGTACCTTGAAATGATTTGCCCTAGGTAAGGGTAGTCTCAAATGATGTACCCTGGGTAAGGGGAGATTCAAATGATGTACCCTGGGGAAGGAAATACTTTGTGCCAAAGTAATCTGATATGCTTTTAACATATTTTAATGTTTTGAACGAATAATCCAAAGCTTTAGTTTTGCACGTTTCTTTATTGTGCCGTATAATCAGCTGTATAGCTTGATTTCAGTTTATCAGCTTCAGACGCTATCTCGGAACCAAAGGAAGCGTTCACTTTTATTACATTGTATGACATGTCATCAAGATTGTAAGTGTAGTTGTCTCTTCATCTGAGTGGCACTTTCTTTACATGTGCGAACCAAGGGAGAAAATTGTATTGTTATGAATAACACTTACTGCACCAAATGTACAATGTTCTAAGATAACACAAGCTCTTTACACGAGGTAGTGAAATAATACTTGTACTTACACAACATAATTCACTTAAACAAGTGTCTGTGTACTTGAACGATAACTGAAATGCTCCATAACGGGGACGTTTTTAACTTAACATAGTATATATTAGTAATATATACCGGTAAAAGGCGATGTTTAGCCATTTATTAAATTATGGTCTGTATTTTAAATGCTTCATGTAGATGTACTATAGAAAACATAACTGCTATATGCTTGTATCCCGTCAATAAAAACGACTGATGATTTTTTTCTTTTGCTTGTCAAGGAATTATTGGTAGTTGATAGTGCCACTTCAACTGAAAATGGTCGCCCCCTTGGCGCAGTGGTTAGAGCGTCTGCTCTAGAGTCGCGGCGTAAGGAGTTGATCCTTACGTCGTGGGTTCGAATCCACTGTGGGACATGGAGACCGGTCCTTCGGATGAGACCGTATTAACCGAGGTCCCGTGTCGCAGTAGGTACTGGCACGAGAAAGATCCCTCACTGCTCAATGGCCGTAAGTGCCGAGTATAGGACAAAATTTGCAGCTCTCCACCGGCAAGTGGTGGCATCTCCATATGAGTGAAAAATTCTCGAGAGGGACGTTAAACAACATACATACAAACAAACGAACAACTGGAAATGTATGGTTCTCCCCCCCCCCCCCAAAAAAAAAAAAAAAAAAAAAAAAAACTGAAATTGCTCCCTACGGGCCTGTGATTGGCTGGAAAAAAAAGTTATCATCGTATATCATTTGTTGCCTACGTAACAATATGACTTTCGTCAAAAAATGTATTAATCCGCTTGACGCTATATTCTTATGAAACGCTTCGCGATTTACAACGGATAGACTGTCCCAATCCAGGTAATATTCATATAACTTGGTCATCTTTTAAATTCATTCCTTAATTAAATACTTCTTTAGTCACTGAACGCAGTAAAGATTGGTATGTTTTCCTGAGGTCTCCTAATTTCAAATTCAATTAATTTGAAGATGTTAAGTTGGAAATCAAATATTTAATGTATTGTCATAATTCTCAAAGCAAGGATAAATTTAAATGCCGTAATACAAGGCACTCTTTTCATGATCTTCAAAAATATTCTTAATGTCATAGTCTTTATCTTCTACCACATTTGTTCACTTATTTCTGCTGAGTATGGACTCCACACAGGAACTGTATGATTTATAAATATTTGAAATGCAAGACGGAACCGAATGGATTTAATCATTAAAGCAGAAATACGCGAACAAATGTCTAATAGAGCAAGTGACCCCTTGTTTATCCTAACATCATTTAAATTTAATGTTATAGACTGAATTTTATTATTATTATTATTTAATTTGAATACTAGTAAACATCATACGAATACAAAAGCAAATATAAAACTCAACAATCATGCAACCTATACTGAAGCAAACAGAAAATCTGGCGAATTTTCATGTTAACGTTCGATTTCTAGGGCCAAGACAACATAATAAATTAAGATAAAACAAAACTAAATAAATTCAATCCCTATATTCATTCGTTCGTGGATCTGGGATTCCTAGTATCCAAGGGAGGGGATGAAGCTTCTGGAAAATCTTTCATACTCATACTCATAGTCATTGTAGGGACAGGCTTATCTGGATAGCGCTTAAGAATTTCATTTTCTTCCTTGCCTTCTTCAATCGTTTCGAACTTGCTTTGGATATTCTTTCTGAGGTCTACAATGGTCTGTTGTTTCAATTCACGTTTTCCAGAAAGAATCTGGAGTCCGATTCCCGCTTTAACTATTTTCCATCTCTGAGTGGCAGTTCTATTAATTCTGATATCCTCTTTTTCCTCATCAGCTATTGGTTTCTCAAATTTCTTGATCGGGATTTTCCTATCTAATTCCTTATTAAGGATTTTTGTTGAAGCTACTATATGAGAAATTGTTGATACACGATGTGTTAACATTCCAGAAAACTGAATAAAAAGCAGAATTCCAAAAACAAGAGTAAAAGCGATAGAGATTGGTTCGATCACGCCTTGAGTTTCACCAACACTGCATGGTAGAGGTATTGAAAGTGTGTTCTGATAAGTATTTACTTGAGTGAGAACATAAACAATTGTAACAAAGATGGCATTTGTTATAAAATAAAAGAAAAACACCCTGTTTCTAAGGTCAATAAGCTCGGACTGCATTTTTGCCTTCTCTTCTTCGTTCATGTTCAAAGGTTTTAGGTATTTTTTAATAAATTTTCTCCAAAAGTCCTCTTCGTCTTTTTCTATGGGATTGCACTCTTTGAAAATACCACGTTTTTGGTTTTCCTTTTGTCCTACAGAGGGAAAAAGTTCTTTCACCAGTATCTTTTTATTTTCAAAATTATGCATAAATGATTACATCAAAGATATACAGATATAAAGATATACCTTTTTTTCCCGATACTTTTGTTTTATCTTTGGATCCTTCCGCTTTTGATTTGTTTTGGTCTCCCTCGTCTACTCGTCCCTTCTCGGATTTGCCTAGACTTTTCTCATCCTGTTTATCATCAGACTCCTTCTCTGGCTGGTTTTCTTCGTCTGATTCCTTTGCTTCTTCTGACACATCAGGTCCCTTATCCTCAATTTCGTTAAAACATAAAATACATCTGTAAGGAAAAGCATTTTCATTTTTTGTTTTTCTAAATTTACATTTTCATATGATTATATATATATATATATATATATATATATATATATATATATATATATATATATATATATATATATATCTTAGCTTTAACTTTTAAGTGCGATCTCTTTCCATGATCTAAATTTGAACGAAATCCCATCTTTTTTCTTTGAATTTTATATATCTTTGCCTCTATACCTGCACCAGTCCCCAATAGAGCATGATTGACCTAGAACTCGTTTATGTAACAGTTGAGATGAGGGTTCTTCTTTTTTCGCTGTTTTACTTTCACGAGTTCCCCAATTAACGTTATGCAAATTTCCAACAGAGTAAAAGATCAAAAGCATAGACATCGATGGAACAGCCAGAAAATAAAGTAGTCCATGTAGAATACAGGCGAATTCCTTAAATAAAGAAAAGGTTAGTATGCCATAAATAAGCAAGGTATGTGAAAAATATTTATATGTAGCGCTTCACTAAACTAATTTTTTTTAATATATATATTTACAATTTTAGGGAAAAAAGCAAGAGGAACTGTTACATTGTAGCACTGAGCTCACAAAATGATATCCCTGCTCCCATATGAGTATACATGTAATGGCTTAGTCCAAGACTTGCTTTGGGAAACCCCAGATGTCTGTCCGATCGTAAAGTAAAATAGGAATGCACAATAGCACTACGTAATAAAAATTCTGTGAAAGTTCATAAATTTTTTTTTCAGTGGTATAGGAGGAGTTGTAATTAAGGGATAGATACCCCCCAATATTATAGAAATAATGTCAGTATCTATGTTTTTAGCTCACCTGAGCCGAAGGCTCAAGTGAGCTTTTCTGATCACATTTTGTCTGTAGTCCGTCTGTCCGTCTGTCTGTCTGTCCGTCCGTCTGTAAACTTTTCACATTTTCGACTTCTTCTCAAGAACCACTGGGCCAATTTCAACCAAACTTGCCACAAAGTATCCTTGGGTGAAGGGGATTCAAGTTTGTTCAAATGAAGGGCCACGCCCTCTTTCAAGGGGAGATAATGAAGAATTAGTGAAAAATTAGTAGAATCTTTTAAAAATCTTCTTCTCAAGAACCACAAAGTCAGGGAAGATGAAACTCATGTGGAAGCATCCTCAGGTAGTGTAGATTCAAGTTTGTTCAAATCATGACCCCCGGGGGTAGGGCGGGGCCACAGTGGAGGATCAAAGTTTTACATAGAAATATATAGGAAAAACCTTTAAAAATCTTCTTCTCAAGAACAGCAAAGCCATGATGAGTTATATTTATATGGAAGCATCCTCAGGTAGTGTAGATTCAAGTTTGTTCAAATCATGACCCCTGGGGGTAGGGTGGGGCCACAATGGAGGATCAAAGTTTTACATAGAAATATATAGGAAAAATCTTTAAAAATCTTCTTCTCAATAACAGCAAAGCCATGATGAGTCATATTTATATGGAAGCATCCTCAGGTAGTGTAGATTCAAGTTTGTTCAAATCAAGACCCCCGGGGGTAGGGCGGGGCCACAATGGAGGATCAAAGTTTTACATAGAAATATATAGGAAAAACCTTTAAAAATCTTCTTCTCAATAACAGCAAAGCCCTAATTGGTCATATTTATATGGAAGCATCCTCAGGTAGTGTAGATTCAAGTTTGTCCAAATCATGACCCCTGGGGGTAGGGCGGGGCCACAATGGAGGATCAAAGTTTTACATAGAAATATATAGGAAAAACCTTTAAAAATCTTCTTCTCAATAACAGCAAAGCCCTAATTGGTCATATTTATATGGAAGCATCCTCAGGTAGTGTAGATTCAAGTTTGTCCAAATCATGACCCCTGGGGGTAGGGCGGGGCCACAATGGAGGATCAAAGTTTTACATAGAAATATATAGGAAAAATCTTTAAAAATCTTCTTCTCAATAACAGCAAAGCCATGATGAGTCATATTTATATGGAAGCATCCTCAGGTAGTGTAGATTCAAGTTTGTCCAAATCATGACCCCTGGGGGTAGGGCGGGGCCACAATGGAGGATCAAAGTTTTACATAGAAATATATAGGAAAAACCTTTAAAAATCTTCTTCTCAATAACAGCAAAGCCCTAATTGGTCATATTTATATGGAAGCATCCTCAGGTAGTGTAGATTCAAGTTTGTCCAAATCATGACCCCTGGGGGTAGGGCGGGGCCACAATGGAGGATCAAAGTTTTACATAGAAATATATAGGAAAAATCTTTAAAAATCTTCTTCTCAATAACAGCAAAGCCATGATGAGTCATATTTATATGGAAGCATCCTCAGGTAGTGTAGATTCAAGTTTGTTCAAATCATGACCCCCCGGGGGTAGGGCGGGGCCACAATGGAGGATCAAAGTTTTACATAGAAATATATAGGAAGATATGTTCTGATGAAGAACTGCAAAGCCATGATTAGTCATTTTGATATGGAAGCATCCTCAGGTAGTGTAGATTCAAGTTTGTTAAAATGATGACCCCAGGGAATAGGGATGGGCCATAATGGGGGATCGAAAATTTTACATAGGAACATATAGGAAAATATCTTCTTCTCAAGAACTGAAAATCATGTTTAGTCATTTTGATATGGAAGCATCCTCAGGTAGTGTAAATTCAATTTTGTTCAAATGATGACCCCCGAGGGTAGGGTGGGGCCCAATAAGGGGATCGAAAGTTTTACATAGGAACATATAGAAAAAAATTTCTTCTCAAGAACAGAAAAGCTATGTTTAGTCATATTGATATGGAAGCATCCTCAGGTAGTGTAGATTCAAGTTTGTTCAAATGATGACCCCTGGGATAGAGAGGAGCCACAATTGGGGATCAAATTTTTACAGAGGAATATATGGGAATTTTTTTAAAAAATCTTCTCAAGTACAACAAAGCCATTTGTTAAAACAAATTATATATTGACATGGAAGCATCATCAGGTAGTTTAAAATTCAAGCCCCCCCCCCCCCCCCCAAGTAATCTTTTCAATACTTCAATACTGAACTGATTTGTGCTTTTGCCTTGCCAATGTGCTCAGGTGAGCGATGTGGCCCATGGGCCTCTTGTTGTAGTGGGAAACCCTATATGCGTCTCTGATCGGAACATAAAATAGGAGGTTCACAATGAACTACGCATTAAAAGTTCTGTGAAAGTCATTAAATTTTATTCAGTGATTTAAGAGGAGTTGCGGAGGTTCACAATAGCATTATGTAATGTAAACACAATCTGTGAAAGTCATTAAAATTTTATTTAGTAGTACTGAGGAGTAGCAGATAAGAAATGAGTAACCCCAATATTTTAAAATAGAGTGGAAGTGTCCATGTTTTGCTTATGTTTCCGATCTAAATGTAATATAGGAGATCCACAATGCAAATGTGTAGAAAGAGATTCGGTGATAGTTTCCTTAAATTGAATTCAGTGTAGTAAGGGGAGTTGCCTGTAAGGAATGCCTACCCCCAAGTGTTACGACATATGAAGGTGCGGACAGAGGGACACCCCCATTACTTTATACCCCCTTCCCATCATTTAATCAGGGACATAAAAAAAATCCAGGCATCTATGAAACGCGTCCCATCTAACTGGTGAATAATACATATGAGAGAGAAAATTAAGATATGAATACCATTGGATGCAAAAATGCAGCAATTATAAAGACTCCAGCCACGAAGCAAAAAAAGACAGTTGTAACTGAGCAGAATTGTGACTCAACGCCTTCCTTTAGCAGTCCTATCAGAACAACCAACATGACCAAACTGTAAAGCGTCGACAATATTGCCGCAAAGAAAAGCTGTAAAATAAATAAATAGTATTTCAAAATTACTTCTAAAAGCATAGATGACATGGAAAATAAGTAATGGAAGAGATCTTGTTACCTGCGTTTCTTCTTTTGCGACGTAGATTAAAATAATGAAGATGGCAACAGGTACACCGTTTAACAGTAGAGCAAGCCATGGTTCAATTTGTGGAAAAGCTGTTATGATGGCGCCGAGAATCAACAGAAAAATTGTTCCTGGAGTCAGTATGGAAGATATAAATAAGCATATGTGGTAAAGAATGTATGGTCTTGATATGTTCTGATTCGTTTTCCTGACACTGTTTCCATCAATTAAAAGATCTAAAATGTTTGCCATGGTTGATGGAGCCCAACGTCTTCTCTGGTTATAGAACTCGTAAAATCCTTCCGGAGCAAAGGTCAAAGCATCCGAAGCAGCGCAATATTCTACCCTATACTTTTGTTTTAGCAACAATGTACATAACCATCTATCTTCACCTGTGACAGAAAAAAATATAGCCTGAATTATCTCTCGAAGCAAAGACCATTAATATTATCCATATTTGCCAGCCAGAGGGCTTTAAAAATGATCACAAACATTTAATATCATTATCTTGTATAAAATTACAACATTTTGTCAAATTTATAAAAATTCAGTGCTGTTAAGTGATATGATGAAAAAAGATATGCATAGAAAAAAAATAACTCAAAATTTATACTGCCGACTATTGGTAGCTTGATTCTGTGTGGTTTGCTTATTAAATTCTCAGAGCTTGCACCAATTCCTAATTTACTTTTAAGCTTAAAAAATTTAAGTTTCATTTGAAACACACCTTGATCGTACTGCACATGATGAGCTGCTTCTGTGGGTACTCGTGTGTAGGTTTTCATAACATTATCTGATAGCAATGCTGAACCACGAAACAGACTAAAACATCCGGGGGAACATAACACACAGCCGAAAACATGTTCTGTAGCCTTCTGAAGCCAGTGGCTTATAGCATACTCAAACGTTTGATACCAAACCATAGGGCCTGAATAAAAGAAGAAGAGATATTTGGATACCACAATTCACACCAGAGCGTGTCAATTTTATTTTTAAAAAAATCATGCTTAATTCAGTAAATGTGACGTCCTCAGAAAAAAAATGCCTATAAATGTATGATTATTAATTGACTAACAATATTATTTAAAAATCTGAAAGTTCTCTTTCAGCAA